ATGAATGGGTTCTCGTGCCTGCACAAAACACGGACTGCAGGAACGTGGATATGTGAACCAGGGGTAAGCCTGGGTTCACATATGTGTGGTGCGGTATATCGCATGTGATTCACACAGGAACCGCACTGCATTCCTGTGCAAATCACATGTGATTTTGTGTGTGGTGTGATTGCAGCCACACTAGAATCGGATCGCATCGGTATTTTTACCTATGCGATTCGATTCTGCACACCGCACCATATTTTGTGGACCACTTCCGGGGTGTTAACATACACACCCGCAGTGGTTTGCATGAACGGGGTGCGATTCTGATGCGGTGCGGAGGAAAACGCTGCAAATTCCAAGCAGTGCGAACCAGGCTAAAAATGAATCTCCGCAGCCTGGACACAAAGCAATAAAAACCTGGCAGAAGTTCTAACCTTTCTACAGGCTATAAAAAAAAAATAAAAAAATATATATCTTTACATTTAACAGTACAATTCTACATACAGGCTGCCTATTGAAGAAAGCAGGGAAGGAAGCCACTTCAAGCATCGGTTATGAGATTTAAAAAAAAAAAAAACAATATATGAGAAAGAATAGTTAAATGATCAATTCATACAGAAAAAAAAATCCATGCCTATGTGATCTTTATTTTTGCAAATCAAACCTATTGACTCAAACATGATCATGAGATAAAATAACAAACATTTGTAAAACAATTTTGTGTTGTCCAGTTTTGTATATTGACGTTAATGATTTTGCCAATTGTAGAACGTGGGGGGAGGGAGGGGGGTCTGTAACAGTATATGCCACCATCTGGTGAGAGAAAATGGTTCCAAATATTGCTTTGCATGGTTGTACAACAGCAAAGAATAGAAATATATTTTACTGGAGCAGGAGAAGGCTGACACCAGTATTGTTCTTTGTGATGTTCATATGCTCTACAATGACCATGCCCCACTACATGACACTAACCAAATTCTAGTGGCATCAGGGCAAATCTATCCACCTTCCTCAGTCTCTTCAGTAACTGAATATAAAGAGCATTGAAATGTATTAGGAGATCTTATAGAGCCCAGTGTTGGGAATATTTTTATTCCCTGTGAATTAATGGTGCAAAATCTCATTACTCAAAGTTCAAGGCCTGCAAGAAGGAATGACTGTGTTCCACAAGGAAATTTAATAGATCTCCAAAGCGGCTCTTCTGTTTATTCTGTCAAAATTATAATTCAGCAGCTCCAAAAACAGTGGCTGCTGACTTTTAATAAACAGCCACTCACCTGCCCAAGGATCCAGCGCCATGCTCACCTGAGCTCTTTTCTTCAGCGGTCTTTGGTCCCCGACATCTGAACTGTGGGCAGCCAGTTGTGACTCTTTGCAGCTTCACATCCGCCTGCTCACTGCTGCCTTTACTGAATGGCCCTGCAGCCTTCTAGGACCTGTGACATGTCCCAGAAGGCTGAAGGTAGTGAGAAAGGGAGAACATCTACTTGGATTACCTAGAATCCAAGCGGAAGTGGGAGGGGATCCTGTCAAAACCAGATACCTTGCTCCCCCTACAAAAAAATATGCGCCAAAAGGGGTAAGGGGGCTAGTGGATTTTTCTCTTTTGGGTGAAGTTCCACTTTAAAAACAATGCCGAACTCCAGAGAAAACTTTTTTTTTTTCTGTATTGTTGACTAGAGCTGGGAAGGGTTAGAACTAGGGATGCCCCGAAATTTTGTCAGAAAACACCCCTTTCGGCTGTTGGCCAAAATAAAAAAAAAAGCACCGATACAGGTGCCGAAAAAAAACCCCGCCCGCTGCTCAGTAGTTCTCAGCCTTACCTGAGAAACCATCGAACGACACCAGCGCTGGGATAGAGATGAGTGAAGGAAAGATAGCCTCTAATCATCTCTATGCCCTTGGAGGACCAGAGCGATGTCACTTCTGGTTCTGGCCAATTTCTTTTTTTTTTTTCTTTTTTTTTTTTAAAAGCACTAGATTAATGCTTTTTTTTTTTTTTTTTTTTTTAACCAATGCTTTACATTGCAGAGGAGAGATGTGGGCTCTTATTGACTCCATATCGCTTCATAAAGAAGGACCTGTCACTACTTATTTCTATCACAAGGGATGCATGCATTTCTTGTGATAAGAATAGAAGTGATTTTTTTTTTAAATGGACAGTACAAAAAAAAAAAAAAATGCATTAAAAAAAAAAGTTTAATGTGCCTGTCCCCCCCGTGCTCGCACATAGTGGTGAATGCATATCTAGGCCATGCCCACATATGCAAATGGTGTTCAAACCACACATGTGAGGTATCCCCATGAACGTCGGAGCAAGAGCAAGAATTCTAGCACTAGACCTCCTCTGTAACTTTACACTGCTAACCTGTAGAAATTATTAAAAAGCATCAGCCATGGAGATTAAGTACCGCCATATCACGCCATTCCACAAGCGTGCGCAATTTTAAAGCATGACATGTTGGGTATCTACTCGCCGTAACATCCTGTTTCATATTTCACAAAAAAAATGGGGTATATATTTTTTTTTTTTAACAAATTGAATTTTTTTCCAAAAATATATATTCATTTTTAAAAACTGCGCATTTTGGTTTTCGGCCATTGTGAATTTTCGGTTTCCGAACCAGAATTTTCATTTCAGTGCACCACTAGTTAGAACTGTATGGCTATTAAATGCTGCCTGTGACCCTGCTATGGAGGGTTTTCATTCACTTCTGGTCTCAGTCAGACCAGGACAAGGAGTTAAGTCATTGGGTATGACTTCCCTACTCTGCTGAAAAGTGTTTTTGTTGTTTGTCTCCCATTGGAGAGATTACTCATTACTACCGATCATTGTGACACAAGATTCATGATTGGACACAAGAGAAAGTCTCCCCAATTGGAGCAAAAATATCCAGATTAAAAAAGTGCTTGGATTAGAGTTGGGTTTTAATAGCCTTTTTAGGCATCTCTGTTCTTTTATCCACCACCTGTGCAGTGAAAAATGCTCTATTTACAGCTTACCCTTTGACTTATTTCTGGATCTTCAGGTTATAGTTTTTTCCAGACGTATTGGTAACAAGTTACAGTATCCCAACATTGCCACCTCGGACCCATAACCAGGAACAGCATACATGCATGATTGTAGTAGTGGAGGACAGCCGGTTGTTCTAAAATCTTTGGGGAAAGAAAAGCAGAGAGCCTGGTAATCACTATAATTCCATAACCGTTTCCTGTCTGCCCTATAGCAGAAGTACTGCTACAGGGAGGCACGGGTGCTTAAAATCGTGCATATATACGCAATTTTGCATTTCCAGGTAGGGGGTGTGCACCCTACCTGAGCTGCCATTCACAGCTGTCAATCACCAGGTCCTGGCTGGTGATTACTCGCCGGCACCCGGTGATGGCCGAGCATCTCCGAAGTGGGGGAGAACTGTTTGTAAACAAAACAGTTCTCTCCCGTCAGTTCCTGCACACTGCTCTGCATAGCACAGCCATACAAAGCAGCATGTGTACAGTGAAACGCACACACACAGCGCACAGTTAACCCTTTGATCGCTCCACATTTTAACCCCTTCCTGTCCAGTGCCATTAGTACAGTGTCAGTGCTTTTTATTAGCATTGAGCACTGTATTGGTGTCACTGGGGATGTCAGTGACACCAAGTCAGTTCCTCCCAGTGTCAGAATGCCTGCCGCAGTCCTTCTATAGGTCGCTGATTGCTGCCATTACTAGTAAAAAAAAAACGAAACAAACAAAAACAAAATTCCAGTATATATACCGCCATTTGTAAATGCAGTAAATTTCACGTAAACCAATTAATTTACACGTATTGGGATTTTTTTTTTTTTAGCAAAGACATGGAGCAGAATACATTTTGGCCTAAATTTATGACCAAATTTGATTTTTTTTTATTTTTTTACTGGACATGTTTAATAGCAAAAAGTCCAAAATATTGTTTTTTTTTTTCTCAAAATTGTCTTTTTTTTATAGCGCAAAAAATAAAAAAAAAAAAAGCACAGGTGATCAAATACCACCACAATAAAGCTCTATTTGTGGGAAAAAGGGAAGTAAATTTCATTTGGGTGCAGTGTTGCTTGACCGCGCAATTGTCAGTTAAAGTAACGCAGCGCCATAACGCTGTAACCTCAGACTTGAAATATGAACAAAGCATATCCCTCTATAGTGTGTACTTGTCTCAATTAAGAGCACTGAGTATCATTTCTGTCTGCCGGTTTGTTCCTCTGCTATCAGCATGAGTCCCTTCTGACAAGTTTTCCTGACACCAAGAGAAAAATGGTGACAGGGGAGGGATCTTCAGCTGATTGACAGCCTCAGCTGTTTTGCTGTGTGGAGGAGGTGTGTCTCTTCCCTCCTATCAGCATTCATAGCTCTCCTTACTGAACTCTGTAGTGTGTGATTTCAGCTCTCCGGCCTGTTTTCTGGACTCCCAGACAAGCTTCATAAATTCAGCATTTTGATTGGATGTAGAGAAGAGAAGTCTGCAGATAAACAAGTACAATTTATGTAGGAAGATTTATTTGAGGTCAGTCACTTTACTGGGTATAGGTAAGGGTTTACAACCAATTTTAGTGTCAGTCCAACCACAATGATCTATTTCATGTTTGCACAGACTGTGGAGGAGATCTTTACAGCTGAATTAGCAGCTCAACCCAACTTCTACATTTTAACATGGAAGTCTCATTCAACCTATTGTCTTTATCTTGGTGAATGGAGAGCGAAGAACTCCAGCAGGTGACACATCTCATCAGTATTCACTAATCACTGCAATACCAGTTTTGTTTGAACGGATGACCTAATATGACAGTCCAAAGAGCAAAAAAAAAAACAACAAAAAACACTATACTAAAGATTTTAGTTTACTAGGGTGGAAGTGGGCAAAGCTTCTTTCTGATTGCCTGCAGTCTTTGAGGAAAATAGTTTTTTGACTTGTTGCTATTCGTAAATGGATGTTGTACTTCTTCACTCATCACCCATCAAATCCTAAGAAGGGACTAGATGCTGTTTATAAACCATTTACAACGCCCAGGGTCTTTCAGATGACAGATGTTTTTGGTAAGTCTTCAGTGATTTCTTTGGAGGGATGAGAGTGTTACTAAGTCCTGGCTTTTTCCTCTTCCCCCTCTCAGCTTGTGTTTCTTCCCTCACTTCTTCTACCCTCTGTTCATCCCCCAGTTTTGAGCTGTCTCTGACCATCTCTGGAGCATCCCCTCCACTGCCAGAAGGTTCGCCCTGGCTCAACACTGTAGCCCCTGGTGGCAAATCAGTTCCATGACTGTATTTGCATTTTGTTCCATATCGGCACCTGCCATCTCTCTGGTAAGCCAAACAGACCCCTTTTTCCACCCTTTGCCCAGTTGCTATCGCTCAGTTTGACATGACGTTCCAAGATACTCAGCTGGGCCCGTTCCTCATCCCGGAAGGGGTTCGAAAACACCCCACTGGGGCTCACTTTGCTCCGACTCCCAAGCCGTGGTGTGGGGAGGCGAGAAGAGAGTAGAGGAGAAGGAAGAGGTTTTGAGGGTTTCTCTGATTCTCTTTTACTATCACCTTCATCTTCACTGCTGGAGGCTGCATCTGCAAAGAAGTTCAATTTGGATGGAGAAGGCCTAAAATATATATAAAAAAAAAAGTGACAGCAGGAGACTAAAAAGGAAATAGAAGTCATAGAACAAAAACAGTGAAAGAGAGAGAAATGTAAAAACGAATAAAAGAAAGACGCTAGCCCTTTAACATACTTACAGTATACATATCCTGTACACTCAGCAGCCGTTTTATTAGGTACACCTTGCTAGTGCCAAGAACATGTCCTCCACACCATTACACCACCACCCTAAACCGTTGATACAAGGCAGGATGGATGTGTCCATTCTTTCATGTTGTTTACGCCAAATTCTGACCCTACCACCTGAATGTCGCAGCAACCAGTCTCCTCTGACCTCAACAAAGCATTTTTGTCTACACAACTGCCGCTCACTGGATATTTTCTCTTTTTCGGACCATTCTCAGTAAACCCTAGAGATGGTTGTGCGTGAAAATCCCAGTAGATTAGCAGTTTTTGAAACTTAGACCAGCCCGTCTGGCACCAACAACCATGCCACGTTCAAAGGCACTTTATTCCCCATTCTGATGCTAAGTTTGAACTTCAGCAAGTCGTCTTCACCACATCTAGATGCCTAAATGCATTGAGTTGCTGCCATGTGATTGGCTGATTAGCAATTTGTGTTACCAAGCAACTGAACAGGCGTACCTAAAAAAAAGGCAAAAGAAAAACTCAGCTAAATGTAGATGCAAAAACGCTAAAAAACTCAAGTTTTTAACGTGGCTTTACACAGCTAACGTTACCAGTGTTATCAAAACACCCCGTGTGCATGGAGCCTGATACTGTCCTGTCAGCTGCACACGTTACCCACATCCTGCTCTGCTTTCTATCCGCAGTTCCTCTGATTTGCCCATTCTGTTGGCAGCTTCTGTTTCACCTCTGACAATGAGAAGGGAGCTGCAGATCATGTAAGATTGGAGTGTGGACAAGAGTATGACTCAAGCTAGGAGCCAGGGGCGGACTGACAACTCATGGGGCCCCCGGGGATCATGGGGCCCATGTGTCCTCACCCACACTCAAACCAGCATCTCATGGGGCCCCTTACTGACCCTGGGCCCTCGGGCAGCGCCGAGTGCCCGAATGGTCAGTCCGCCCCTGCTAGGAGTTGACCAGGGGATGAGAAACACAAAAACGTAGGAATACAATGCAGTCCTGTCACTGCCCCTCTTCTGCAGCCATCACACTAATCCTTATGCTGGCCCTCATTGCAAGGCCAACACACACATACTAACACTTTGTAAAACCCTGACAACACTCACAGCTTTGCAATTAACTCACACGACAACTTTTTTTGCAAACCTAAAATTAACTCTTAGGCTGGCCATACGCTATACAATTTTCTGCCCAATTTCCTTTAGATTTCCCTTCAACTATGTAGTGCAAGAGCCCGCCTAATTGGATACAATTGAAAGTGTTGTTAGGTTTGATCTCCTATTGTATGGTTTTTTGGTAAATCTAAACCAAAAATATAAAAAGAAATTGTATAATGTATAGCCAGCCTAAGTCTAGGTTCACACCTATGCGTTTTGCAGAAACGCACAGCATTCCATTGAACATGATTTCCTATGGGGCAGGTTCACATCTCTGCGTTTTCACCCGGTGCATTTTTTTGGAAAGGGTCAGGGACTTTTTTTAAACGCAAAACATTGCGTCCTTGGTTCTATAGACTTCAATGGAGACGCTGCAGAAAAGCATGTAGTGCATTTTTGATGCGTTTTGCAGTTTATTCTGCCCAGCAACAAGTTGGCTTAAAAAAAAAAAAAACCCAGCAAAACACATAAAAAACGCATGTGCATAAAAGCACTGCTGAAACGGTCAAACGCAAACTGCATAGGTGTGAACCTAGCCTTACACAAACCCTCCCTGTACTTACTGTAACGTTTCTATGAAGGAGCAGCATTGTCACTCTACAAAAGGAAATGCATTAGGACTAGAGAACACCCCCTCTCTCCTCAACCTCATAAAAGGTGGGAGGTTTTTAGTAGCTCACAAACAGAACTGGGAACGATGCTAAATGATAACAGTGCAGGAGCACTGAAGATCAGCTGCTATTTTTTTTTCTTTTGCACTTACTGAACAAATATAAATACATTCTTTTGATATATATGTTTGGTATATTTAAAGTGATTGTAAAGGCTCAAGGCTTTTAAGGTAAAAAAAAAAAAACTCTGTGTGCAGCAGCTCCCTCCCCCCAATACTTACCTGAGCCCCCTCTCGATCCAGCAATGAACATGAGAGCACTGGCTCCCCTGGGTCTCTCCCTCCTCATTGGCTGAGACAGCAGTGGGAGTGTAAATCACAGTCGGTGACCCAATAAGAAGAGAGTGGGGGGCTGGGCCACGTTCTGTTCGTGAATGGTCACACAGAGCAAGCCTGCCCGAGTGCCCCATAGCAAGCTGATTACTCTGGTGGCACTCAGCAGAAGCCCAGGGGGCCCCAGAAGAAGAGGATTGGTGCTGCTCTGTGCAAAACCACTCCACAGAGCAGGTAAGTATGACATGTTTGTTATTGTGTTTTTTGAATTTGTCTTTAATATCGCTTTAACAATCAAAAAGAGACACATTAGATATGTCCATTGTTTAATGATGTATTATTGAATATAAAGCTGCAATCATTTGTGTCTTTCTTCAGTTTTAAGACATGCAAAGATTATTTACCTTGAGCCATCTTTAGCTCCGTCCTCTTCATCTGAGCTGGAGGAGTTGTATCCTGACAGGAGTCCCAGAGATGATGAAGCGGAGGTCATGGCTTACATGGACTGGTTGCTGGCTGAATCTCGTAGCAAAGCGAACACTACAGTTTAAACAGAGATGTCATCAGATGCAAAGGTTCCTTCCTATTATATATTTAAAAAATATCTTATGTACAACTGCATATTTAAAGGACCAGTATTGTCCATGCAGAATACACTCAGTTTGCTAGGTGGCACCCATCCAGATACTCTGGTGGCACCTCATTCTCAGTGATTGCATGTGGACTCCTCAGCTTTCCTGTTTCCCCTATTTTTAATGCAGAGTACAGCTCTCCATGCAATGACAGGTGAATTCAGACTGGCCATTATGGACAACACAAACCATGTCGAAGCAGCCCAGAGTAGGCCTCTACTTCTGAGAGGCACACAGGACTCCTATCATCAGTCCTAAGGTCATAGTGAATATGGACTTGTGGTTCTGTGGTATGAAGGTAGATGAATGACAGAGGGAAATACAGGGGAAATAATAAATAGGGGAAATACAGAACGATCCCTGAGATTCATAATAAGCACTGTAGATACTATTTAGAAATCACCGTGTCGGAACTTGCGATGTATGCATTGGTTAATGTGTGTTGAATCTGTAACAAGTCCATGCAGCCGCTGCATCCCAACTTACCCCTGGTTCACATATATGTGGCCGTGCGGGCCACGTTTTGCACGAGAGCCCATTCATTTGAATGGACTCCTGTGACTGTGAAACGCAGGGAAGAAGTCCCTGCACTTCTTTGGAAAACGCAGCCCGCACAGGAACCTCAGTTCCCAGTACGGTTGCGTTTTCCAGTGCGCATGGCGTGTCATGCGGGTCCACATTCCTCTGTGGGGGTGGTGTGGCTGCACAGATTTTCGTATGGATCTGCAGTGGCACCACCCGCCAATATGTGAACCTAGGGTAAAAGCCTGTGTGGCAATATACGAACACCTGTGCATCCATGTGCTGATAAACATGGTCCTCCACGGGTGTATGTATGCACCCATGTACACGAGGCCAAAAGGGGCATTCCAAAAACCATTATTGCTGGTGGTGTGAATTGCTTCCTGACTAGGGTTGCGAGTTCATCCATTTATACCCCAACACATATTAACCACTTCAATACTGGGCACTTATACCCCATTCCTACCCAGGCTAATTTTCAGCTTTCAGCGCTGCTGCACTTTAAATGACAATTGCGCGGTCATGCAACACTGTACCCATATAAAAGAATTATTTATTTCAGGTATTCATATAGCGCTGTCAATTTATGCAGCGCTTTACATATATATTGTACATTCACATCAGTCCCTAACCCTCAAGGGGCGTACAATGTAAGGTCCCTAACTCACATTCATACATACACATACTAGGGACAATGTAGACAGGAGCCAATTAACCTACCAGCATGTCTTTGGAGTGTGGGAGGAAACCGGAGTACCTGGAGGAAACCCACGCAGTCACAGGGAGAACATGCAAACTCCAGGCAGGTGGTGCCGTGGCTGGGATTCGAACCAACGACCCTAGTACTGCCAGGCAGGAGTGCTAACCATTTAGCCACTGTGCTGCCCTTTATTATAATTTTTTTCACACAAATAGAGCTTTCTTTTGGTGGTATTTAATTACCACTGAGTTTTTTTATTTTTTTGCTAAATAAAACAAAAAACACCTGAAACTTTTGAAAAAAAAAAAAAAAAAAAACCTGCACTTTTCTTTGTTTCTGTTATAAAATTTTGCAAATAAATAACATTTCTTCATAAATTTAGGTCAAAATGTATTCTGCTACATTTCTTTGGTGAAAATAATAATTGAATTTGTATTTTTTTTTCAAATGTTTCTATTATTTTATAAAACACATTATGATTGCTAATACCAATGTATTTCATTGATATTTGCAATCATTGTTACTGAATGAAACTGATTCATTCAGTCTTTTGTTGTGATTAGCTGTGATTGGGCAAAGCTGATCACACGATACAGATGGGCTGTGATTGGCCCTGTCTGTATCATGTGACTGCCTTGACCAGTCACAGCTAACAACACAATTGCATACAATGGATGGCATGACAGGAAGCCATTGATTGTGTCCCGTGACACAGACGGTGACCGATCACACCGCTGCGTGGCTCGTTTTGGCATGACGTCATATGATGCCCAGTCACAACGGCGAAAGTCCCACCTGGCCGTCAATCTGCAATAGGCCGGGCGGGAGAGATGTTAATTACACAGGTTCCGAAGCTAATTTAACACAGATAAGGCACTAATGCAGGCCATAGACGGGTCAAAAACCGGCCACTTAAAAAAAAAAAATCGGTCGTTCAATAGGCCGACGTTACCACCAACGATGGAAAAAAAAAACACCCGATTTTTGTCCCGTCTACGGCCGGCATTTATTTACTTCTGTCCCTGCAGAGAGCTCCACTATTGTATTTGACATGAAAAAGTATAGCGATTGCAACATTGTATCTATTTGTATCCATTCCAGATACAGATGTTTTTATTCGGATACAAATAGATACATTGTTGCAACCGCAATACTTTTTCATGTCAAATATAATAGCGGACTGGAATTCTTCTTTTTCTTCTTCCCCTTCTTCTTTTTCTTGCAGATCACGGCTCATGCGCAAATTTTTTATTGGTAAAAAGATCGGCCAATTTGCCCATCATTCCCGCGAAAATCGCCCGATCGGCAAAATCGGCCGATTTTTTTCCAACTTTACCAATAAAATAATGTGCCAAAATCCAGAAAAACAGCAGACCAATTAACCCATTAACGGTGCGAAAATCAGCCGTTTTTTTTTCCGGCCGAAACATCGGCTGATTTCCGACCCATCTATGGCCTGCATAAGTCCTCATGCACACGGGGCTTTCCAGCTTTTTTTAGCATTTTTGCATTAGCGTGTAGCTGCGTTTTCCAGCGTTTTTACAGCTAAAAAACTCCTCTAGAGCCCCACTAGTCCTGAGTTTTTTTCAGGCCAAAAAACAATTTCAGTCTATGTGTGCATGGACACATAGGATAACATACTGGGGGTTTACTGGCTGTAGAAAAAAACATCAAAAGCCAAAAACAGCCGCTGTAAAAACGTCCCGTGTGCATGAGGACTTAGTGAGTTTAATTGGCACCTTAATCAGCCACAGAACCGGTATCATTAATATATGTTCGAATTTTAAAGGGATGAAGTGGCAACCCTATGCCTGGCTCATCTCTCTGTAGTAATCCAGTGGCCAACATTGCCTGTAGCAGCAATTTTGAAGCCAAAGATGTGAATCTCACTCTTCCCACCAAAACCTAAATTATATCCCAACAACATCCTTGTGTAAAGGCTGCAGCAGGTGACGGAATCTAGGAATTTGTGAAAAGTGTTAGAAAAGCTTACCATCATCCACCCAGAACCTCTCCTAAAAACCATTTAAACTCCAATTCTGTAGATCCCATCACTCCATAGCATACACTACCTTTGTAGATCCTTTACACAAACCACCCTACTATCACAACAAGGTCACCTGCTCTCAAAATCGGCTTATCATTTGGCCGACTTAAATGATTTGGCTCTGGCACGGAACGGGTTAAGCAATGGCTGGCTAGATAATGGTTGGTTATCGATAACACACCAGATGTATGGGGGGAAGGGTGTTGTCCGAGTCCAGCCCCTGCTGGAGGTTCTGCCGAAATCAAATTACTTCTTCCCTGACTGTCTGCAAGCCTCGATCTGCATCTTGCCTTCCCAGATATTCTATGTCTTCAGAAGTCATACAGAGGTGATGCCAAGTAAGTGGGAATAATTAGTACGTAAGAATCCTTCATTGTTCCATTAGAAACGTGTAGGATGTTTTATGTCTGAAGGGTAGAAAAAGAGGATCCAGCACTAACCTTTACATGTGGAGACCTAATTTTGTGTGTCCATCCAAAGCTCAGGCACACGACTTCAGCTCCATATGGGAATGATGGCATGCCTTAGCAGCAACCCACAATGCAATGTAGCTGTCTTCCTACAAGCCAAGAAGCTTTTACATTGCTTTGGGAGGTTCTTATGGAGAAGGGAGGGAGGACTGAAGGATCCAGTCTAAAGTTGGCCATAAACATTACAATCTCTGTCTTTTCCATTATACCTACCAAAACCATGTAATGAAAAGGCCTACCTCATCCACCTTTTCAGCCTGTACCCTACCTGGTGGGCTCTTCAACCATATAGTTGTGGGCAGTTCAAAAGGAGATTATACAATCAGATTGCAGCATGCATGGTGAACTGTGTATACAGGCACCTTCTACAACCTGCTGTTGGGATCATATTTGGTTAAAATGGGCAGCCATTGCCAGATTTCTCTCGAAAAATGCTAGTGGCCTAGTTATCATGATAATCCAGCACATTTAAAGCAGTAATAAACCCCAAACCAAAAATGTAATATATTGCATATTACCAATCCTTAGATGTGGTGCCTGCTTTAGCTTTCTCTTTGTTTAGGCTTTTTTCTCACCTGACCAGTAACACACCTCCTGTATTAGAGTATCAACAGTCTGGAGGAAGGGGCTTAGGCAGTGTACGGACCAGGTAATTTAGAGCATGCCAAATTGCACCCCCCCCCTTCCCACGAAAAAAAAAATATAACAAAAATCGGGCACTAATCTGCATACTTGCCCCCTAGGCATAAATCCCCCCTCCTCCCAGTACAAATCCACCCTTACTAAAATTCTCCAGTCCCAGCACACATCTTTGCCCCCTCCCACCTTAAATCATCTCTCTCCCCATATGCCCCCAGCACAATCCTCCCAACCGAAAATTTCCCCCTCCTAGCACAAACACTTTGCCCTTCAAATTTCCTCTCCACGCACAAATCCTCTTCTCCTTGCTCAATTCCCCTCTCCCAGCACAGATCCCCCCCCCCCAGTTCCCCTCCTAGCACTAATACTACCCCCAAGTTCCCCTACTAGTACAAATACCCCCAAATCACCCATACTAGCCCAAATCTCCCCCCTAATCCTAGCACTAATACCCCCCTCCAGTTCCCCTCCTAGCACAAAACC